AGAAGTTGTGTCCCCGCGGCGCAGATCGTACCGCATGTGTCCGCCATGTCATCTACGAGTATCGCGGTCTTGCCTTTCACGTTTCCAATTAGGATCATGCGGCTCAACGTGTTGGCCTTCTTTCTTTCTTTGTGGAACAGAGCGAAGTCGACAGAGAGACGATCAGCCATGGAAGTAGCCCTAGGTCATGCCGGAGTTAATTTGGTGCGATGGATGGTGCTATTGGAAGAGAATATGTACCTTTTGGCACCTCCTGCATCTGGGGATACGATGACGACTTCAGATACGTCGAGTTTGGTCCTGATGTAGTGAAGCATGGACGGTTCCGCGTAGAGCTTTCAGAATCCGTGAGCTAATAGGTTCATGTCCAGCAATGAGGGGACTCACACTACAAGTTCAACAACAACCAGTGTCAGTCCTTCGTTATAGGAACCAAGAAGGAAGACGCTCACTTATCCACTGGGACGTCAAAGAAGCCTTGAATTTGGCTCGCGTGCAAGTCCATCGTCTGGAACGAAGGCACCATATGAGAGTCTCTTCAACCCTGGACGAGAAATTATCGAATACGCACAATTACATGATCGCAGCCGCTCTGCTGGATCATGTTCGCTACCAGCTTGGCCGATATGGGTGCCCGACCTTTGTCCTTTCTGTCTTGTCGCGCATAAGGGTACAGGGGGATGACAGCCGTGATCCTCTTCGCGCTCGCGATCTTGCAGGCATGGATCATAATGCACAGTTCCATAAGCGCTGTATTGACCGAGACCTTGCCATCGGCACTGGCACAACCCGAATTGACGATGTACACGTCTGCCTCCCGAACCGACTCGTTGATGCGCACGACAGTCTCGCCGCAGCCATTCTCGGTGCATTCAGAGGGAGAAAGCGGCACTCCAATCCTATTGGAAAACCGTAGAGACAATCAAAGGGCGTCGGGTAAGAAACTTGTGAGCTAGGAGTTCTGTATGACGTAGCGTGGACGTGCTTTTTACCTTTTGGCGATGAGCTCTCCCAGTTCGGGGTGACTCGAACCTACAAATTGGCCAGCTCAGCCGCTGTTAGTAGTAGCACAGAGCCCATTTAGACTATTGCGCACCGGCGAAGACCTTCAAGCTAGTTGCACCAAACATCGTCCAGCGAGAGATTTAAGCGGTAGATTTAAGAAAATATGTGCAAATCAACTGATCAACTGTATGTCGAAAGGACCTGATGTGGGTCCAAATTATTAGGATAGCGAGCTGGTCGTAGTGTCGGGCAGTTCAGAGCGAGGCTGCCATGGGCGAGTCTTTTGCTAAAGAACCAAGAAGCTGGGGGGCGCGTAGGAGAGAAAATTCTTCGGACACCTACTTTCACGCGGGGCGACGCACGTGCGAATACGGCGGCATCGGATATGCTAGTAGCTACACTTGCAATAGCGAGGAGAATATTCGGCCAAGAGGTACCAAAAGACAGCGGAGAGTATAGGTAAAGAGAGTACAAGCAAGTAACAAACGATGATGCAAACCTCGAGTATACAAGGTACGAAGCACAATGACAGGAAAAGTGACGCACCTAAGTAGAAACTAGAGAAAATATACAAGGAGCACAGGAAATATCGATTGAATACAAAAAGAGAATCAGGAACAGCGTCAAGTAGGCTGCGAGTTGGGAGCTGAATGCCCCCCAGAGAACGCGGATTTGGCTAGGGCCCGGAATTGCACATTGGCGGGGATAAGGCCTGACTCAAAGACCATAGAGGGGCGCTTGGAGTTCTTCGTCGCACTGGGACCCGCAGAAGACCCAGAGCCGTTGGAGGCGGTGTTGGGAGGGGAAGGGATCGTCTTCTCGGGCGCTTGAATGGACGCCGACCGCAGGAAGTTCAATAGCTCCGCACGATCCGTCTGAGACTTTTGAACCACGAAAGAGCCGGGGTCGGGTGGCGATATCGGAGAGCGTAAGCCTATGTAGGGCTGGGAAACCTGAGCTGGTGCATGTTCGCTGGGAATCGCACCTGCATTTGTGGGATAGGAGTTACCGAAGCCGACACCCGATAGAGGCCGTGGAAGGCGGCTCAAGATAGGCGACACCATAGCGGGAGCGGGTCTTCCTTGGTGAGTTGGGTTTCCGTTGACAAATGATGACGGCCTTCTGGTAGGTTGCCCTGGGAGTGTTGCGGGCCCTCCTGAGCCGTGCATAACATCCATCATCCGAGAGCCTACGGTCGACATGTGAGTGGGAGGTGAGATTGGAGCAGTTTTCCGTGGCTGGAGGAGAGTGTGATCGGTAGTGTTGTATAGGATATTATTGGGATGAGACTCCGTCGTCCCGTTCACGTTAGATATGGCGAGATTGGGGCTTTCGAAATTATCTTGTCGGGATGGTGGCTGCGACGGCAAACGAAGCGGGGTCGGCGATGCTGATGGTATGCGAATGTTGTGCTGAGGATGCAAAAGTGGATGCGGGTGGTGCAGATGCGGAGGAAGAGCAGGCCGATGAGATTGAAGGTGAGGAGGTTGAGGTTGAGGAGGTTGTTGGAATGGAGAAGGGAAGGGAGGTGGCCCGAAGTTGCCTGTGTGCTGGTTGTCGGGCTTTGGATATGATGGATAGAAGTCGGGATTGGTGGGGTACCCCATCGGGATAGACGGCGCTGGTGGAGGTCCAGATGTATTGCTCTGATACAAAGACCTCCCCCTTATATCTCCTTTGAGCGCGTCTTGAGCAGCTACACCTCCCGTACCATTAGCACCTGCCCCACCCATATCGTTCCAACCAAAGCCCTCGTGCATAGGAGGTAACATCATCCCTCCTTGCAGACCCTGTGGGGTTGGACAGGTAGACAAAGCGATCACTTCGGCTTCGGTGGCAACCATGTCTAACAACGCCATGTGTTGGGCGCTCGAAGTGGACGCTAACGGTGCCGACCGTGAGAGGGAGGAAGAGTGGACGAGAGCTGGAAGGCGGTCACCATTGGTATACGATGGCGCGAGAGAGCCTAACCTCGCCTTTGGGGTCATACTCGCCATGTTATCAGGACTCGTCATTCGCATTTGGGTCGCGGTGATGTTGGAGGCGCCTCGCGCCATCATACTGCTTGTGTTGGAGGTACTGAAGCCCAAAGTTGGGGGCGCCTCTGGTATCGGAGACCGAACCAAGTCATTGACCAGCGAATGACGACTTATGGCCTCCGACAGTTCATCTGCAGAGAAGGATGAAATGTCGCCCATGTTCTCTGAGCCAGATGTTCCGGCAGTGGCGGGCGTTGTAACGGACGTATCCGACGACGACCATACGGCTGGAGAAGGCCGGCCGTCTAGGCTCTCTGACGACACTGACGTTGAGTTGGCTATAGGTCGACGTAGGATGGTCACCGGGGCTTTGGACTGAGGCGTGAGGTTCTTTGGGACGACTGGGGACAGCGCGTCGAAAGGTGATATGAACTCGAACATGGACTTGGGAGCTTGAGTGGCGGTGCCGTTGAAGGAGGATTCGAAAGCAACTCCGTCTGGGTACTGCCCATCCGCGCTATCTGTTGAAATCCCGTTCTGGAATGCTGTTGGTGCCGTTGATTTATGGGTCGCCACCGGAGACTCTGCAGGTGTGGGCAATCCACTCCCGCCTGCCTTCACAACGTGTCCGGGAGGTTCTACTTCTCCGTGTCCAGTGGAATTCGCCAAAGATTGAAGAAGGTTCGTAAAGTGAGCTCGCTCCTTATCGTTCGATCCGTCTGTCCCGTTGACGAGAGGCGCTTGTTGCCCGGTCACTGTTTGTATTGATGACAATCTATTCTTTGAGGGTTTGCGTTTCGGCGCTTTCGTGATCCTCCTGGCAGCCGCAGGCTGACCGGCTATGTCAGGAGAAGAATAACCATCCGCATTGGACATGGCGGCGGCACCTGTCTTTTTGAATAGGGCGTCAATAGCTGAAGCGGCTGGTCTGTTGGGTTCGGTGGGATGATGATGATGCGCGCTGACATCCCGATTTTCCCCTCCATTGATGGGATCATGATCGTAGTCCGTATCCAGCTCCGGCTCTTCGTCGCCTTCTGCTCCAGTCGACTCACTATCCCCAGCCGCAGAATCGCCACCAACCGCCGTCTCTTCTTGCAGCACTTCTTGCGTTGGCTGACGCCCTCGGTGACCGTGTTGTTGATGAGCAGCCGACCGTGCCGCCTGTTTCTGAATCCGCTTATAGTCGCGCAGTTCGTGGGGAGTGAGATTGGGTGGGACGTATCCGAACGCGACTTGGAAGTAGAAGAGCCGGTTCTTGAGTTGTTTGAGAAAGGGGCTGATTCCCCATGTCCGTATCATCTTGTCGTTCTGCGAAGTACCCTTGTGATTTGGATATCGCCCATCGTCATCATCATGAAA